ATCATTTAACCAATAATTAATCCATCCTTCTAGAAAGCTTCATTTGCTAAAAGAAGGAAAATGCAAGGGTCAGCTAAGCATTTATCATCAAATCTGAAATGAGTGTTTATGTCCCAGCATTAATGGGGCCTATAAAAATGCTGACTTTTGATCAGGTGTGGTGGCTCACACCTGTAATCCCAGCACTTTGGGAGGCTGAGGCGGGTGGATCATTTGAGGTCAGCAGTTCAAGACCAGCCTGACCAACAAGGTGAAACCCCGTCTCTACTAAAAATACAAAAAAATCAGCTGGGCTTGGTGGTGCATCCCTGCAGTCCCAGCTACTCAGAAGGCTGAGGTGGGAGAATCACTTGAACCTGGGAAATGGAGGTTGCAGTGAGTGGAGATCACGCCAGCAGTGAGCTGAGATCACACCACTGCACTCCAGCCTGGGCGACAGAGCTAGACTCCTTCTCAAAAAAGCAAAACAAAACAAAATGCTGACTTTCAAATTATATACTATATTCAACAGAAAGAAAATAGTTTTTTTCTGTTGTCTTCCCTTTCACTTTTAGAGAAAAGCATTTATTAACAAACAATAAGAAAAAGTAAAAATATTAAATGGAACAAGGACACCTGAGCTTAAATGCTATTCTTAACTTGAAGTAAAAAGTAAGGAAAAAGATTACTTGTTTATGCAATATTCTAATAATGATCATCAGTTTGAGACACTCCAAAAAAAAGTCAAATTTTTATAATATGTAGATTAAGCCATACAAAAAAAAACCCCAGATTTTTAAAACTGGCTTCACATACATAAAGCAAAATTCTTTCTAAAACTTACTAGAAAATCTCTGTTGCACAATGGATAGCACATTAGACTTCTAAAACTTATTGGAAAGTAACATTTTATTATATAAAGACACTCACAAAATAAGTACATAAATCTTTACAGTCAAAATAGGCACTAATTCTGTATTCAACATCTTACATTCCTATTCCTTTCACTTTTTTCAAAAGAATTTCCCATTTATTACCTACCTTGAGCTTCATAATATTATAGAGGTAAGATTATCTTTATCCCATTTCAAAGATACAAAAGCTAAGACATGTTCTTTTACTCCTTAATGTAAACGATTAATCATAAGACATAATTTACTAAGAAATGTCAGAAATAATTTGTGATTAAATGATCACTTATTGTTAGGTAAAACTTCAAGATCTGTATCACTGGACTAGACCAATATGCAGCCAAGTATTATGAGTGTGGACTGTCGATCCAGACTTCCTAGGTCTGCATTCCAGCTCTGCCAAGCACTATTTATTTAACTTTGAGCTCACTGTTTAACCTCTCTGCCTTACTTTCCTAATCTGTAGGAAAATAGGAATAAAAATAGTACCTACCTCATAGGGTAGCTGTGTGAAAGGATTATTTATGATACCTACCCTATACAGCACTTACCTCATACAGTTGTTATAAGGATTAAATGGGTTAGTATGAATTAAGAGCTCAGCACAGTGACAAGCACAGGTGGCACTCAGCCAATGTTGTTGTTGTTTTCTGTTTATCTCCACAATTTGTGGGTTCTATGAATGTGGGCGAAGCATCTTTGAGCTTCAGTTTCCACATCTTTAAAATGAGGATAATAATACTACCGTGCACTAGGGTCATGGGAAGGACTGAACGCAATGCTGCACATAAAAGCTTTTAATAGAGTGTCTTATGCAATAAAAGTATTCAATAAATAGTTTTAAAACATATTATTCAGTATTAATAAAATTGTTTGCATTACAGCATTCAATATTAATTTTTAGATAAAGAATGATTACAAAAATTAATGTTCACACAAACACAAGCATGTCCAAACAAGATTCTTCTTACACATAACATTTATTTTCAATTACTCTAGTGTTTTCAGGTACTATCAAGCCTGCAAGCTTCCATTCCTCTTACTGACACTGAATATGTGTATTTCTTTCAAAGAATTAGGAGAGAAAAATGTAACAACTAGCATTCATTGCATATTTACAATATGCCAGGTACTTTTCTAAGTGATTTACATATGTTAACATATTCAATTCTCATATTCAATGTTAACATATTCAATCCTATCCTACCCAACAGGATAGCTTCTATTATATCTCTATTTTATATTTGAGCAAACTTGAAACAAAGAGCTCTATTTAGGGTTTGCTGTTTTTGAAACAGATACCAATTGGAATCTTCTATAAAAGACAGCATATACTCAGTCAATAGACATAAACTTCTTAAACAAAACAATTTTTGCCAAAACCTTGGAGAGTATATTATGTCTTGCTCATATTGTATTCTATTATTAATAACAGTGTCTAACACAAAAGCCACTAGCTACACGAGACTACTGGGCATTTGAAATCTGGCTAGCATAAATTGAGAGGTACCGTAAGTGTAAAACACACTTCAGATTTTGAACTTAATATAAAAAATGTCCCATTAATAAATTATGTATTGGTTACATATTAAAATAATATTTGGATATACTGGGTAAAATAATGCATATTATTAAAATACATTCTGCCTATTTCTTTTTACTTTTTTAAAACGAGGCTTCTAGAAAATTTCAAATCACAAATGTGACCAATGCTATGTATTTATTAGATGGCTGGTTTGGACTTGGGGGTAAGAGAGAATAGTAACAGAGAATTATTATCAAAGTTATTGTTTCTAATCAGTATAAGCTTAAGTCCTTCAAAGCACAAGTACAGAATGGAAGATATCTCTCTTGTCTCTCTAGCGTGTGCATGTGTGTATAATACTGCATATATACACATTTGGCTCAAGGGACCAGAGAAACATGCTATACTAATACTTCACTATACTCAACATACAAGAGTGAAGGATAGAAAATCTAAGGGGAAATACCTACAGGAAAAACAACATTTATTTTTAAACTGAAATCATAAAAGTTCCTAGAGTCCAAAAAGACCTAACCACTTAGTTTCAGAGGCATAACAAACACCAAGTGTATATGTTAAGTAAAATTTAAATTTCCTAATGGCCTAACTGGCAGACTATTAAAATATCTGATGTTTGATATCTGGTATCTTCTAGAAAATAATCCAGTTTGTGGATACCTGTCACATTGTTTTGATCAATTTTATACATCAAATATAGGCCTTTAACTGATTCTTCTAAACGAATGCTGGCCCACTATATAGAAGAAAATTACTCCATAAAGTTTACATCAGATATCTGGAAAAGTCACATTTATAGTCATGGCTACTATCAGCTGCCAAGCCAAAGAATATTGAAGAAAACCAAGAAATTTTAATATACGCTGCTTAATTTATCATCGAAGTGACATATGTAGGATAAAAACATTGAAATGGTTAAGGAAAATTCTACATTGTAAAAGGTCCTTTTTTCTGGTTTTATTTTTAATTGCAACTATGATTTGAGAAACCATAAGAAAGCAAATTAATAGAAATCATAAAAATAGAATTAACAAATAAAATACACACTAAGATTTATTTTTTCCTCCCTTCTCTGGATTATTTAAAACGTTAATTTTTTTAAATGGTAATATAATGGTATTTTGGTTTGTACTGAAAACTGGCTAACCCATCTATTCCAGGGTTTGTCAACCTTGACAAATCTATTTACATTTAGGGCTGGATAATTCTTTGTTGTGCAGGGACTACTCTGTACATTTTAGGATTTTTAGCAGCATCTCTGGCATCTAACCAATAGATGAGAATAGCACTCTACCCTTCAACAGTTTTGACAAGCAAAAACACTTAAATATTGTCAAATGTCACAGGATGGCAGTAGGGGGAGTACTAAAGAGCTGCCCAGTTGAAAAACACTGTATATTCCTACCCAAAATACCTTTCTATTTGATGAAAATTATTTCAGCACTTCCTAAACTACTATTATGTAGTTTCAGGGGCTCTTCCTAGGGGATTCAGATAGCTTCAGCAGGAAACTCAGTAAACCTACTGAAACCACATGCAGAATAGCCTGGGTATATTTTCTGGAAAAATGTTCTACAGCTTTTGCCAGATCCTGAAAGGGTTATCCCCAAAATAGCAATTTTAAAAGGGTTAAGAATCAGTGCTTCAACTAAAATATTCACAGTGCCTTGAAACTATCTTTCCAAAGATATAAAGATTGAAAATACTATTTCATACACAGCAAATCATTTACTTTTACATTTGTTATCAAGGCAAGACTACTTTCACCACACTTATAAACTATTCATACAACAGACATTTAGTGGATACAGTCTACATGCTCAGTCCTATGTTAAACTACACAAGCTAAGCAAATAGCAGCTAAATATGCAAAATGATTGGATAACTATAATTCCATAACCTACATCATAAACATTGTTTTTTAAGCAAAACATCTGCAAGTATCCTATTTTTCCTATAATGCAGCTTAAAGTTTACAGGGGCACTAATTTTTTTTGGATTATACAAATGGTATATACAACTTGAAGAACTATTACATTTCATAAATGGTTTTGGGAATAATAAACACTCATGTAATCAATAAATATATCAGGAGTGGCTAGAGAACCAGAACACTGCTACAAGATTACCAAACAGATTAAAGTTAGAGGCCAATGAGTGCAATGAGCAAAACAATGCTTAAAAATATGTGATAAATAAATCTTAACAAATTAATTAGGAAATAATTGTGAGTCCACAAATGAACATATCACCCCAAATAATCAACACCATCATATCCAGCCAAAAGCAAACCAACTGCTGAGACACAGAATGTGCCTAGCACATCAAAGTGATTTCTAAAAAAAAAAATAATTTGTTTATTTTATATACTGACAATTAACTGAATATTACATAATAAAATTATTCTTCACAAACAAGCAATGTTATATAGATAATGGTAAATCACACAGGAAAAAATCTAAACATATAGTGTCAGACTTTTTGGAAGGGGAAAAATATAATTGCAATGAAAAATGATGCAAATCACGTAGGGGGTGAAAAACATATTATATTATTTACATATTTACCTGCACTGCAAGAGAAGCTGCATTGTCAGAAAGTAAAATTTGCTCCCCTGTGGAAATACAATGAAGCATAACTTAACCAAATAGAATATAATATTTTTATTTTTAAAAAGTATTTATATTTTTTCAAAGGTATTGCCTACCACTAAATTCAAAAGTTTTATATCAATGTTATTATATAATTATAATTTTGATTAAATTATCACAAATAATGATAAACTAGGACAGTTCCCTCTAAAATTATTTGATCACTTATCTCATTTTATCAGCAATGTAATTAAAATTGTTCACTTAAAATCAAACTCATTTTTCGTTTTCAAGAAATGTTTCTCTTCATTAAAATTAAGTAAAATCTGCTGAAACCCTTCTAGTTAAAAGTAAAAGCACTCACAATAATATAAAACCAGCTTGCAGTTAATATTGCACAGTGTATCTAGGTCTGTCACACAAAAGAAAGATGACAAGTTTGCTGCAATAAAAATTCCATGCTTAGAAGACTAGGGCTGCTGCCTATTAGTCTTCATTACTTTGCAGTCTTCTGACAACTGTAGCAGGCTGCTAAGCCCCAAATGGGGTCCATAATGTGATCTGATGATATATGAAGAGCTGCTAAAGGGAGCCTGAACCATCCTAGCCTATACATTTTAACAGTTCCTTTTTACTGAGAGCCCACTTTACCACAGGACTTCAAAAATCTGCTGTCTCAGCTATTGGTGCAGTAAATCTGCCAACTTCTCCTGCAACCACATCATTTTACACCGCCTACAGCAGCCAATATAACAAGTCAATAATAAACTAAGGACCTTATAGGCCATGAATAGTTGGTTTACACTGGCAGATACAAGTTTAGGTAAAACCTCCTAGATTTACCTAGACAAATTATACAAGGGAATCCCTTCTTTTACATGTTATATTCTCTTTGCAGTAAATTGTATTACTGAGGATTTTTTTGTAATACATACAGCTTGATACAAAGCCATTTTTAATTGTGAACAAGAATTTACCTTTCAATTGCTGATATAACGTAGCATTTTCAGGCCAAGGTTCTGCAGCTATGGAAACAACGCAGTGATAATTAGGCACATAGAGCAAAAACGTATCAATAACAAACCAAATTAATAATCATGTACATTTGCCTAGAGCATTTAAAGTCAATTGCTAAGGTTGACGTATACACGGCAACTAATCACACTATCTTAGATTCTATGGTAACCAGTATGAGTAGGTCAGAAAACTTGTTTTAAAAGCATGTTTGGTTTATCGTTTCCTGATTTTTTTTTAGTGGGGAGGAGGGGAAGATACCTTGCCCAATCCAAAATGAGAATTAAAAAAACAAAATAGCCCATATGCTACAATTCCGTTAGCTTCTTTCAAACACAGACATATTCTAAATATTATTCATATGTATAAAAAGATACTGATGTCTAATTTACTACAAAAAAATGTAGTGAAATAATATTTTTAATATTTTACAGTAAACTTTTAACAAAGTAAACTTTCAAGCGGACATTATATGAAAGAATCAAATATATCTGTATCAAACTGTCCATCTTTCCCCACAATCTGGCAGTATTTAAAAATACAGAGGAATCCTGTTGTATTCCAGAAGATTTCATTGCCTTGACCCTACCAACACCACTCCACAAACACAGTTAGAGCAAAGTTGCGTGATGAAGCATTACGTAACTACAATGTGAAATAATGCCAGTAAAGATAATTTTAGGCCTGAAATGAAACTTGACTTGACCCTTAATCTCTCATCTAGAGAAGACTGCAGCTACAAAGAGAATATTACCAATCTCCCAGTGTTTGGGAAAAGCACTAGATTTGAACTTTGTCTAATCAACTGCACTTAAGAAGCAATGGCTCCACTGACAGAATACATAGGATATCAGGATATCACTTGTTGGATTCTTCTTTGTAAAAGTCACAAAACATCAGAATCACCCATTTTAATAACGTAACTACATTTGCTCTCAGCAACTAAATATATGAGATTTGATAATAATTGTTATATTTCTAATTGTGTTTATACTAATTTAGTCTCTGTGACATAGCAACAAATAACTTTAATATATAATTCTGGCTGATTTTTAAAAATAAATTTATACATGTGAAGCATTTTTTTTTTAAAGACTGATCATTTAAAATGTTCTAAAGAAATCCCTGGAATGGGAAAAAGGAACTCCTTAATTTGCTTTTACTTATACTTTAGAATAAAAAGAAAAACACAGTATTATTACAATAAATAACAAATGTGACTTTTAGGTTTAGTTTGGTTTGGGCTACACAAAATTAAACTCATATTTAGAGATAATGCCATGAAAACATCAAGTAAATAATGAACTACACATAATTTTGTATGCTGTTCCCCACAATATTACACATATATATAAGGGCTACTGAATTTCAACGCATATACCAACACAGCAATGAAACAAAATACTTTGCTGTCACAACTTTAACAAAGTAAAATTTCATTAAGAACCAATTAACTTGTATAACAGTTTTTAAAATAAAAGGAAACAAAAACAAGCTGACATCAGCAAATTACTCAAAAAAATAACCTTTTCGGATAAATTGTATAGTCAGCACACCTATATTGCTTACATCTATACTAAAAACAATACAATGAGATTCGTTTGTTATAAAATTCTAAATCATCAAAGATTCAATTATATGCATTATATTAATCTTACTAGCAATAAAGCATAGGAATAAAATTCACAACATTTCGAAGAATAAATATTGAAATCAAGTTCCTTGGAGACACAGATGTGTCATATGCATCTGTGAACCATACACTGTACTATGCTTTGCATACAGTTGATGTTAATTGTCTGTAAAAAGAAAGAAGATATCTGATTAAACCTACCATTTAATTCCCTAAACATGCTGGCTAATTAAAGTTTTACTCAACTTAATATTACCATCTATGTTAAGGTAACAGGACATTCTAATTTAAAATTGTGGTAATTTTAACTCTTGGTTAGCTATTTTGTGCACATACTAGGCATGCATTACAAATTTTTAAAACAATGAAGTATTAGGTTGCTGCAAAAGTAATGCAGTTTTTGCCCAAAAACTGTATTAAACCTGTATTACTGTGTTAAAATTGGTGATTCTGATATTTTATGGCTTTTACAAAGAAGAATCCAACAAATGATATGCCAAAAACTGCAATTATTTTTGCACCAACCTTTACATACACTAGTATTAAACATATGCTGAATATAATCTAAGTATTCTCTGATAAATCAGAAGCTACTTCACTACTCTGTAACATAACAGAGTTCTTATATGAACAGCAATTTACGTGGTCAGTAATTTCAGTTAAAAGTTAACTCATCAGCCAGGTGTGGTGGCTCACGCCTGTAATCTCAACACTTTGGGAGGCCAAGGCGGGTGGATCACAAGCTTAGAAGTTCAAGACCAGCCTGGCCAAGATGGCCATCTCCACTAAAAATAAAAAAATTAGCCAGGAGTGGTGGCTGGCGCCTGTAATCCCAGCTACTCAGGGGGCTGAGGAAGAGAACTGCCTGAACCCCAGAGGCAGAGGTTGCAGTGAGCCAAGATCGCACCACTGCACTCCAGCCTGGGCAACAGAGTGAGACTCTGTCTCAAAAAAAAAAAAAAAAAAAAGTTAATTCATCATCACCCCCATGGATTCTCCAGATCTCATCCAAAAGACAAACATGAAAGTAACAGAAAGTTTGCAACATACTACTTCACTGCAAATAAGATCAAAGAAGCTGCCTACAAATACCAAAAGCTCTGTTATTAAGAATCTAAAGCTGGAAATAGGTGAAAAGGGTGAATATTTTACTCAATCTAAGACATAAACTCTGTTTCAACTCAGAAATCATTATTGAAAATAAATTCTCAGAAGGTAACTCTACCAAAACATCCAGTGTTTTCATCACAAATAGAATTTATGACTTAAAAAGAGAAGGCAAATAGACTGATATAAACCCATATAGCCAGCAGCCAGGAATTGCAGTTTATCATGCAGTAGACAGGAAATCGTAGAGTATACAAAGAATGACCAGCTGCCTATCTTACCCATGAGCAGCTCAGAGAATATAAATATCACTGACTTAAGTGCATCACCTTACATGATTCTGTTAGGCTGTTGGTATTGTTGTAAAGAAATATCTGAGGTTGGGTAATTTATAAAGAAAAGAAGTTTGTTTTGGCTCATAGTTCTGCAGACTGTACAAGAAGCACAGTGCCAGCATCTGCTTCTGGTGAGAGCTGCAGGAAGCTTACATGAACAGAAGGCAAAGGGGGAGCAGGTGTCACACATAGCAAGAGTAGGAGCAAGAGAAGGCGGGGAGATGCCACTCTCTTTTAAACAACCAGATCTCGTGTGAACTGAGAGAGAGAACTCACTATCAAGGATAGCACTGAGCCATTCATGAGGGATCCACCCCCATGATCCAAACACCTCCACCAGGACCCACCTCCAACAATGGGGATTAAATCTCAACAGGAGATTTGCAGGGAACAAACATCCAAACCGTATCAGTGACAGAGCTCATATAATTACATGTAAAGCATGACACAAGAGAAAAAAAATCTCTAGTTTGTTATTCCCTAAGAGTGCCAAAAGTGAAAATCCTAAACTGGGCAATGGATCTACAAATCAATCACACAGGTATCATTCTAGGAAATGAGCTCTATAACTGTCTTCATACGTAAACCTATGAATCATGAAAATTATTATCCACACCTAACAGAAAGCAAGCTTATGTGTTGGTTTGGGAATACCTATTATGTAAAAGACAAAGTCCAAAAAGACAACTTCTTCCCTATGCTTCTCTTTCCCAAGGTCAGACAAAGTCAGTAATCACCCCTTGTTCCTCAGCATGTGTAAAAGAGAGATTAAGGATTTAAAATCATGGCGCTGACAATATACATCTTAAAAATCTGTGGCATTTTAAAAGAAAAATCATTTTAAAACAATAATAAAACATTTTTATATTTTACTAGTTTTTCTTCAGTTGACCTGAAATGTTTTAGACCACAAACTACTTCAATAGTAAATAAAATGTCATGATTCGCCTACTCTACCTATTTTCAGTTTCTATCACCAAAAGCACCTCTGGTGTGAAGTGCCATTTTAAACACACCTAAATGAAGGGACAGCCTTAGAAAAAACATAGAAGGTGAGACAGAAAGTTTCTAAAAAGGGGGTTGGCAAGAAATGGAGGCTGAGGAAGAAAGTTGTCCAATGCAGTCAAAGTGCAAGTTACTTGTTTTCTTACCACATCAAAAGTAAATCTTACGTTTAAGACACATCAATAGTTACATGTGGTTCTTGGAATAAAGACCAAAATCCTCAACATGGCCTACAGGGCTCTACTTGGTCTCTGAAGTTACCCTCTCTACCAGCCTACCTCATCACACACACATTCCCCACCTTGACTCTGCACTCCAGCCACACTGGCCTTCATCCAGTTTCTGAATGCACCACTTTCCCCCTGCAGTTTCTTCTGCCTGGAACAATTTTATCCTCCTATGATACTGGCACATCTCAGCTCGAAAATCACTTCCACAGGTACAGCCAGGTTCATGAGCGTATAGCCCGTGCAGTTGCATAGGGCCTGCAGTTGGAAGGGCCCCCTGCTTGGTTTAATGTTCTGCTGTCTCAGTCTTGAAAGTGAGTAATTTTTGAACCTTTTCATTTTGCACAAGGCCTTAAAAATTATGTAGCCAGTCCTATCCTCAGGGAAGTCTTCGCTGACCTCCTTTAATAGTTCAAACACTCCTTTTACAAGCTCTTATAGCATGCACTCCCGTCTGTATTTTTACATTTAAGCAGTTGATTGTTTACCTTCTCCATGAGAAAATACGCACCATGAATCCACCATTCACGTCTGATTTTTGCTTACCACTTCATCCCTAGAACCTAGCATATAGCAGGTTATCAGTAAATGCCGGCTGAATAAACATTTGTTTTCATTATTAGCAGTATCATCATTGTTGTTATTACTCTGTACTACGCAGGCTAAGAATGTAGCAGGGAAGATAACAAAAATTCATGGCAAAACATAAAAAATAAAATAAACTTTACTCAAACAACTTCAACACTACAACCAATAACACAACTCAAAAAAATATTACATAGCTGCCTAAAATTCCTGGAATTCGAATTTTTATCTTTTCTAACTCTACTTTCTTTTTTAGTATATGTTTTATAATTTGCATGACATATCGGCTCAGCAATTAACAATTTTATGATTTCTAAATTCAGGCCTGCATGCTCAAATTTTTATTGATAAGGACATGAAATTTTCATAAATGGTGATTCTTGGGTTAGAGTCATAGGAAATGGAAAGGGGAACAGTGAGATTGCCAGGTAAGTTGAACTGAGGAGTGATACAGCAGTAACATCTGATGTAAACTATATATTTAATAAAAAACATTGTATAGAAAGAGATTTCCAGTTTTAGGGTTAGTGCAAAGGTAAGTAATATATAGTTAATTTATATGTTTTTCTTCCTGTATTTCAAAGGATTGTCTTGCACATACATTACATGTAAAGCAAGACATGAAAGGAAAAAAAAAAAAAAAAAACTAGTTATTCCCTAGGAGTGCCCAAAGTGGAAATCCTAAACTGGGCAATGAATCTACAAATCAACCACGTAGCTATCATTCTAGGAAACGAGCTCTATAATTGTCTTCATATGTAAATATATGAATCATGAAAATTATTATTCACACCTTATAAAAAGCTGATCTCTTGGTTTGGGAAAAGACAAAATCCAAAAGGACAACTTCTTCTCTACTCTTCTCTTTCCCAAGGTCAGACAAAGTCAGTAATCACCCCTTGCTCCTACATACATCTCATCCAACATTGGAGAACACCGTTCTAATTAAATAACAACTTATTTGAAGTTTTTGCAGGAAACCCAGTCATTCATTCTTGCTCTCTTCTGATAAAATCATCCTTTTTGACCAAGGAGAAAGCTTGCAGGGGGAACACACATGAATTAGTGAGGAGAATGGGGATCCCTGCCTACTACCTCCCTAACATGACCCTTGTATCAACCAGAGTACTTCAAATTTCCCCCACAAACTTCATACTTTCTCATCTTTGTGACTTTGCTCAAATTGTTCCCCTTAAGTTCAGAATACTCCTTCACTGCCATATACCCAAATCCTATACCTTTCTCAACCAAGTTTAAATGCCACATCCATCAAAAAGGCTTTTAGGACTAAGCAAATCTAATTTCTCCTTTATCTATACTGTCCACAGCAGTTTGCATTTTTCTTATATATCATTTTCTACTCTATCATACTGTTATGTCAATATCTTTTCTCTCTTTCTAGGAGGTAAATTCTTAGAATGTGAAAAATTCTTGTGGTCCTGAGGTTATTAATTAAAATCTTGGCTTCTCAACTGCTCCAAACTGAAGATGACTTCTACAATAATACATGCCAAAATATGAAATTTAAATTAACAACAATTAAATTTTATATAGGCATCATTTAAGCTAATATCTTTATTATAAGAGTTCTAAATTAAACTACCCACCTTTTAGAAATTAATTATTTCATGATAAAGAAATTCCTGTACCACTTTCATACTAAAGCAGTAACTTACTCTAAGGTACTCCTAGTGACCTACATTAATTCACTCTTTAAAATTAGAATTACTATTCTAATAGTATTCTCTAACAAAAGATCCATTAAATTTTTATCATTTTTATAAAGAAGAAACATATCCCTATATTGCAGACAAAAAGAATACCTAGAAATAAAGCAAATATCAGAGCACCTCATAACTAAGTGCATATCCAATTAGTTATTAAAAGTCCAGTTAGTTCTTTACCTATTTCCCAATTTTGCCCAGGCCCTGATTATGCTACATTTAGTGTCTTCTTTACCAGGAGCAAAAGAGATGCTGCTTAAGGTTTCAGGCTTTAGTGGGAGAGTTTTTTTGCAAATTAATATTTCTTAAAGAAGCTCATGAGTATTTACGTTGAAGAACAAAGTAAAATCAAAAAGAAGTGACACATATTCTTGAACTTTTGAATGCCATAAAATAAATAATGCATAAATGTTAGAAATGCACACATGATAAAGCAACACCCACAACCCCCCAAAAAAGTATTTGCTTCTCATTCATTTTAATTACCTTTAAGTTACCTATTTTTAAGCTTTATCAACCAATACAACAAAAAATCAATATTCTTTACTACTAATCCACTATCATTTTTAATGAAATGACTGCTAACCAATAAATTCACATATGTATGGCCATAAGTCTCTTAAAGACTTTATATATTACTTGTAGTATTCTCTTAAATATTAGGTTAGGATTAAATATCTATTTATTCCATTCAAATCAAGGTATTTCGAAGTATGAAAGTGCTATGATCTAAAAAAAATTAGTCTAATTCTGAAATCCATCTCTCAATGATCTAATGTAAGAGGATAAGAGAAGGGCCATGAAAGAGATGTCCTCTGTTGTTTGTTTCTTTTTTTTAAAGTTCTGCACTCTTGATGTACATGACTCCTCTGCCATATGAATGTAGGTGAAGACATAATTTGTAGAATAATAGGCACTAATATTACATGCTGCTTCAGTTCTGTCATATTTCCAATCCATCAAATTGATTAATGCTATAATAACTCTACACAAACCTATCATTTGTGCACTAATGAAGTCAAACTCAGTTTATCCTTAGGCAACTAGATTCCGAAACCTCATAGATGTCATCTCTTCAGCACAGCAAGACTATTTAGACAGTGTTATATAAAAGAAGCAAGAAACATGTGTAGCCTATCTCCAAATTTGGATGGCTTCCTGCCAAAGTTGTAAATGCAAATACTGCTAATAGAACAAAATGTTCAAAGAGCATTCGGCAGCTCTTAAACATGGACAAGTTACTGCAAGACACACAGAGAAAAGAAGGAAATTTGTTATTTTGACATAAATATTATACTAATGATATCAGTGATATCAACATAGACACCATGTTCAAAACCCATCAAGTTTTAGGCAATATATGAAGGTTTAATTTAAAATAGATTTTTAAGATGTTTAGACTTAAAATATGATGATATGGGACTTTATCAAAACTCGAATTTTAAGGGCTATGTATTAAATTCAAAAGAAAATCAAAATGCAAACTATAGTGCAAGTCAAAAATAACACTATATAATGATGATCATGAAATTATTAAATAGAAATGCCCCTTAGATAGTGTTTCATAGGGAATGTTTAATGATATGATACAGGATGGGTAAGCAGAAGTGACTCTTCCCACAAAAGGTGTTTAAAACCATTTTCCCATTATCTCAATAGTCAGAGATTAGTGTTTATGTCAGAAATGGCTTGTGTTGGAGAACAGGAAAGTGCAGCGTCACACTGTCATTTCCATAAACGTTAAAAAAAAAAAAAAAAAGCAGGCAGTATTGTGTAGCACAGTGGTAAGGCTACTTAAAAAACACACTTGCCAGCAGGCGTAGATACAAAGATATAGACTACCATCAATTAAAATAGAAATCCTGAAGCAGAAAGCAAACATTCTAGGACAAAATACATAAGTATTAGACACAAATACAAAAGTAGTCCTAGATTCCAGAAGATTCTTCTAGAAGAAGATTCAGACCAGAACTATTCCTTTGGCTACATATCATCATAAGTTTTTAGGAAAAAGAAACTTACTGACTGACATAAGAGTCTATTGTATATCCATTATCGCTTGTTGCATACAGGTTGAGTATCCCCTATCCAAAATTCCTGACACTAGAAGTGTTTCAAATTTTGGATTTTTCTCACATTTTGGAATACTTGCATTATACACTTACCAGCTATGCAACCCTAACCCAAAAATCAAAAATCCAAAACACTTCAATAAGCATTTCCTTTGAGCATCATGTTGGCACTCAAAAAAATTTGGATTTTGGAGCATTTTCAGATTTTGGACTTTCAAATTGGGGATACTCAGTGTATATAAATATGTATAGTAAATTATACATATATCTTATTTCAGAAAGTAAATTTAGCCACAGCTACAAATCAGTTTTACCATTCATTCAATAAATAAAGTGTCAGGCACTATTCTAAGAGCTAAAGGCAAAATTATAAAGAAAACCAAGTAACTGCCCATAAGGCACTTCTATTTTAGAGGCACATGTGGCCTGTCTCCTTATGTGTACCTTTACAATGCCTGAAGTTAAAAACACTAAAAAATACTGAAGTCTACCTCATTATGACAATATTATCTGGTATACATATAACAAGGCTTAATTCTGTTTGGGCTACACATTACACAAAAACCAAGGAAAAAAACATACACGACAGTGTATAATCTCCAAAATACCAAATGAATTCCAATTTACTGAACTACGGCAAATAACTCAAATAATATTCCACAAATAACTCACTATCTCCAGCAACCCATTCATTTGGAACAAGGTAGTAAGCAAAAAATTAAAATGACCCAGAGTGGGCTGGGTGCGGTGGCTCACGCCTGTAATCCCAGCACTTTGGGAGGCTGAGGTGGGTGGATCACCTGAGGTCAGGAGTTCGAGATCAGCCTGGCCAACATGGTGAAACCTCATCTCTACTAAAAATACAAAATACAAAATTAGCCAGGCATGGTGGTGCATACCTGTAATCCCAGCTACTTGGGAAGCTGAGAGACAGGAGAATCGCTTGAACCTGGGAGACGGAGGTTGCAGTGAGCTAAGATCGCGCCACTGCACTCCAGCCTGGGCAACCAGAGTGAAACTCCATCTCGAGAATAAAAAAAAAAAAAAAAGACTCAGAGTGAGTAATAATGAATGAATGAGGACAGTCGAATACCCAAGGCAGATGGGTCTTAATACCCTGCCATTCTAGAAGCACAAGATGAAAAGCAACAAAGATTGAAAACACAGAAAAATGAAGGCAGAACTTCCCTCTTACAACCAAAGTTGGAGCCCAATAAAACCAGAGAATAACTAGAATCTATCTCCCGGCCAGATACAAACTAGACTTCTATTTAGGCAGATGATGATTATGATAATGATAGTAATTAAGATTCCGCAAAACTCACACAGCATATATCCAAAATATGTAAGAAACTCTTACAACCCTATAATAAAAAGACAACATAATCCAATTTTTAAAATTGAGCAAGGAATGTGAATAGCCATTTTTCCAAAGGAGATATACAAACCGCCAAAAAGCACAGGAAAAGATACTCACCATCATTAGTCATTAGGGAAATACAAATAAAAACCACCATGAGATGCCACTTCACACCCAATAAGAAGGTTATAATCAACAAGACAGACAATAACAAATGTTTTGCAAATGTGGAGAAATCGAAAATTCTCACATGTTGCTTGGTGGGACCATGAAAAGTTTGGCAGTTTCTCAAAATGTTAAACACAGAATTTTACCATATGACCCAACAATTACACTCCTATGTATTCACCCAGGGGAAATAAAAATAAATATCCACATAAAGACATATATACAAACGTTCATAGCAGCATTATTCACAATAGTCAAAAAGGAAAGCAACTCAAACGTTCATTAACTGGTGAATCGACAGACAAAATGCAGTATATCCATACGATGGAATACTTTTTGGCAATAAGAAAGAACCAAGTAAGTACTGATACATGCTACAACATGAATACATGGATGAACCTCAAAAACCATTATGCCCAATGAAAAAAAAAAAGCCAGACACAAAAGAAAACATATGATTCCATTTATATGACATGTCCAGAAGAGGCAAATCTACAGAAACAGAGTAGACCAATGGTTGACTCAAGCTGGTGGTGGCAATGAGGAGTGGCTGCAAATGGGCAAGGAGTTTCTTTTGGAGGTGATGGAAACCTGTTAGACTGTGGTAACTGGAGAGGTGAGTGGAAAATTAAAAAAAAAAAAAAAAAAGATTGTGGTAATAGTCACACAATTATGTAAATATACTAAAAATCATTGAATTATAAATTTAAAATGGTATGTAAATTATATCTCAAGAAAGCTGAATAGAAAATCTTAAAAGACT